AGGTAGAAAGAAAACAGCAGACAAACTAGGGACCTTGGGACCCAGGGAACAACACAGTGGTGAGTTCCTTTTAGGTTTTCATATACCCCAAATTTGAAGCTGAATAAGCTGGCAAACTATCACTGAGCACAGACCTAAAAGAAATAAAACAAAAAGTACCTGCTTTTTTTAGCCAAATGACCAGATAGGCATAGCAAGGTAGAAAATTCTTGGATAACAATCAGTCTACTCCAGCCAAAAATGACAGAAGAAACTATGGCCATGCCCTGCCCATTTCAGAATGGCTGAGTGGGCACTTAAAAGGTTCCACCCTCTGCTGGGCTGGTGGCTCACGTCTGTAATCCTAGCTCTCTGGGAGGCCGAGGCGGGCGGATCGTTTGAGTTCAGGAGTTCGAAACCAACCTGAGCAAGAGCGAGCTGGCTACGCTGAGTCAATGACATTTTAAGAGTAGCTTTTTAATTCTCTAATGGTTACAGATGAACGATGCAAGAACTAATAGAAACAGCTCATTAACCGCCAATAATCTGATTAGAGGTGAACCTAAGGCTAACTGTCTGATTGCTTGTGATATAGGAGAGACTGATGTGCCCCAGTCCTCATCCATGGGAGTAACTCAGGGACACAGACCTTATGACAAGAAGTGTACGTTGTAACATCCTGCCTGGCTGCTCTGTGGGCATCCGACGTTTCCAGCAAGACCTGGCCTTCTTAGCAGTCGCAGGACTGATTGCATTCCTCTCATCTTACATTTTTCTCATCTTTACTTCTTCTCATTATCTCTCTCCTCATGTTACTACTTATATGTTAATAATCTCACATCACATCCAGATCTCTTGAGAGCAAATCCATATTTATATACTGCTGACGCGTTGGACATTTCAGCTTATATCTCACAGCTCTTTAATTTAATAATGTCCATAATTGGAATTTATCATACACTCCAATAGGAAACAATACTTCCTAAGAATATTATAACCTGTAATGGAAAAACACATGGCATGACAGACACGTATAGAAAAATGACTCAATTTTGCTTGGAATGATTTTCTCTCAGTGGCATAGAGACCAGACTGGTGCACTAACCCTAGAGAAACAATGTAATTACTACCTTGGCTTGGACATGACGAATATGTACCATGCCATAACTCTGTAAATTCTTTTCACCATCTTTCAGCTTCCAATCAACTTAGTAACAAAATAAGGATTATACGACAGCATACAACTGTTTACACCCTTGATAATATGAAAATAAAGGTATAGGCTGACAATGGAAGGTGGAGAATACGCCTTACTCATCTATGACATGGGAATTGAAGAGATATTTAGGGGGGGCTAAATTGAAGTAGCATCAACAAAAATCTTGTAAGGAAAAGTTAAAAGCAAGTTACTGACGGCTGGGCACAGTAGTTCACTGTATCGCCAGCACCTTGTGAGGCGCAAGGTAAGAGATCACGGTGAGGCCAGGAGTGTAAGACAAGCCTGGCAAACATAGCAACCTGTGTCCATACAAAAATTTAATAGCTGAGGATGGTGTATGGGTGTGTAGTTCCCGAGCAACTACTTTGGGGGCTGAGACAGGAGAGTGACTTGAGCTCAGGATTCCAGTTGCAGTAGCTATGATAGAACCACTGCACTTCAGCCTGGCAACAGAGCAAAAACCACCACCAATTACCTTATCCTAAAATAGCTTATAACAATAAGTTTACCTCTACCTTAAATCTAGAGAAACTCTTTAGAAGTACTTGCATAGGCTCACTGCAGCTCAAACTTCTGGTCTCAAGCATCTGCCGTCAGCCTCAATGAGTAGCTGAGACTATAGTGCTTGCCACCACATGTGGCTATTTTTTTTGGGGGATGGGGTCTATGTTGCCATGTTGATTTTGAATACCTAGCTTCACGTTTATCCTCCCACCTTGGCCTCAATACTGCTGATTATGCACTGTGCTTGCTAAGGTATTTGTTTTGATCATGTAAATAATTAATTTATTTTACCTGATGCCAGCATAAACATGTGCTCATTCTCTAGGAGCACCTCTGCCCGCCAGCCACTCTTTATGTTACCTGGGCTAGGATTCCTTACATGCAAATAGTGTATGTGTGTTAGGACAAGTACCACTCAACAACCTCAGTAAGTCTCATACATTTCTACTTTTTTTTATAGCAGAATCTTGCTCTGTCACCCCCGCAAGTGCAGTTGGCATCAATCGTGCTCACTGGCACCTCAATCCTGGGCCAGTAATCCTCTGCCTCGAGCCTCTCTGAGCGCTAAGGAGGATAGGTACATACCACTACACCCCTAGCTAATTTTTCTATTTTTTAGTAGAGACAGGGTCTTACTCTTGCCTCCAGCTGGTCTTTTTTTTGAGACGAGTCTCACTTTGTTGGCCAGGCTAGAGTGCAGTGGCCATCAGCCTAGCTCCAGCAACCTCAAACTCCTAGGCTCAAGCAATC